GAGCAAGGGGTAAGGGCAGTTTCTCTTTCGCCGGTGGCTGTCGCTCCGCCATGACTTCCACGCGCGTCCTCCTGACTGCAGCAGCCGGGCGGCAGCAGCAGTTTCAGCGGTGAGAGGGAGGGGGCAGGATTCAGCGTGTGTGAGCTGTGATTGACACTCCATCAGACGCTCCTCTGGCTGTGATTGGTTGTTTTGTCTCGTCCCGAAATATTCTTCCAGATTGTAATACAGGCAGTAGGCGGGACCAATTGAAGCAGTTTTTTTCACAGGTTACATATCACATGTACTGCTATACTGTATGTGTACTGGGCATAGGGACAGTTTTAGCCAATATGACAAAAAAAGTGATTTTTAAAAACTTACAGACTTCAGCTTTAACAAGCACATACCTGAATCATAAAAATAATCCTAACAAGTGCATAACATTTATTGATCAAACCAAATTTAATACATTTACCAACAAACAGGTCAACAGAATTGTTCCAACATATTCACTCTGGTTCAAATCCTAAGGTAATTCAGCATTGCCCTATATAGCTTCAAAAGAAATAATTGGACCAACTGATATATCCAACTGGACCAAGACAGAGTGATGACATACAAGGGAAGCAAGGTTAATGAGATTCACATTTGTAGGTGAACATGGAAGGAAAGAAGCATTTTTTGAAAAAAAAAAAAAAAAAAATCTTAAACGTATTTGCAAGACTAATTATTTGTTCAGATTGGAGTAAAGTCAGATGCCTCTGCATCTCTTTACATGTTACTTGTAACTTCTTAGGTGAGGACAGCATTTGTTGGCCGGGGTCTTCTTTCGTAAGTAAGCCCAAGAGGTTTAAAGAACATGTTGAAGAAGATGATGGGAACTCATGGTGGGGCAAACATAACCCTGGATTTGGAGATTAAGGGGTGGCATGGAGCAGTGCTCTGTGTACAGAACTCCTGTTTTTCATTAGCTGTTTGATGGACTTCATACAAATCAGATGTTGTGTATGAAAACTTTTTCTTTCTTTTTTTTTTTATTTAAAGCTAAGGAACAAAAATAGTGTAATTTGCTAAATGGACAGCCTCAGAAAGCAAAACCAAATAAGGGGGTTGATTACAAGGACGGCCGACTCCCTGACAGCCAAACATTTAACAAACCACACTCTGAATTGGATACTGTTCTGCAAAGGACACAGCTGAAAACTACTACTGCAAAGGTTTACATACAGTACAATGCCATCTTAAGGGTTTATCCTTTTACACATTTTGTAATGTTACAACTACTTTTATCAACTATAAATTTTTTACATGAGCCAAAACAAAAGATATAACTGGAACATTTATCAAAGAGGATAAAATCATATAACCCCTTTTTTACACATAAAAATCAAAAATTTATTTGGTGCATTTCAAAAAAAGTTCAAAAACAATCTACTGGACTTTGTTTCCAAGTTTGATGACGTTTCATTTTCCACCTAAAAAGCTTTTTCAATTCAAAATGTCAGAATTAGCGTTGAGTTTAGAGACTTTATAGAGTGGACCAAAACAAAGCCTTGTTTTGGGTTAGAAAACATGCTAATTGAAAATGCATATTTGGTGCATTTGATCTAATATGTGGTATAACCCCAGCAAATCATTTTGGGCATGTCCCTACTGGCTACATACTGTACATCTAGAGACAAAAGTGTTTGCCCATCCTCCTTTTTTACATAACTCAAGCTCAGTAAGACCTGACGGGGAGCGTCTGTGAATATCAACTTTCTTCTTCAATACATTTTTTCAGAGCTGGATTTTAACCATGCAATTCTACCCATATATGTTACTCTGATCAACTCCAGTGTGCCTCTGATTGTATGTTTGCTATAACCCTCCTCCGTTAAAAGTAAAGTTTTGCCCATATCCCAACTTTGCAGCCTAAAACAGGTCTTCCTCCAGATATTCCATTTTACATGCAACTCAAAGCAGTGTACCTGTCATTGCAAAGTAAAATTATCCACAAGACAAAGCTGCCATCACTATGTTGGTGATGGGATGGCATATTCAAAGTGATGGTTCCCACAAGATTCTTTTGTTACAGATGGGCAAAAGATTTCCTCTATCAAGTCCCCTTGATTTATTTATCTATCTATTTTGCTTTAAAGAATCTTCAACCTGAGCTTTAAATATATGCCGCTCATCTAAAATGCCCAGAGGTTACCTTACTGCTGATTAAAATAAAATTGTCCCTGTAGCACCTTTTAGTTTAGTTGATTGTCCATGTTTATGTAGGTAGGTTGTGACTTCTGCTGGTATAGTTCTGGTTGGTATAGTTCTATGTTTACTTGTGTTCTCTAACAAGTAAGCATACTTCTGAGGCTGCACTGGACAGCTGTGTAAAAACTGGGTTTAAATTAGTGGTGCCTGTTTCGTTAATATGGGACATCTGAAAAAACTGTTTGCAATTAATTTCTATGGGATTCGGAGAGAGATATTAGAATACATGTGCATGTTACAGTTTTTCTTTTTTTGTCAAAATGTTTAGGTTGTGACCATAAAAATAACTAATTTACAGTATTTCATTTTACTTTAAAAGTCAAAGTTTCAATAAATATTGTTTTTCATCCTTTCCTCTTTTCTAGTCACGTCCAAACTGGGTGAGAACATCACCTTGCCCTGCAGACTTCAGTCAGGGGGCAGTGATGTCTTTGGAGCTATGAAAGTCACATGGACCAAAGTTGGACAAAATGGATCTGAGAATGAAGAAGTGCTATTGTCAATGGGTATACACACATCGGGAAAGTTTAAGGATCGTGCCTATTTGGTTGACACAAACGCTGGCGATGCATCCTTAGTGTTAACTAACATCTCCATGGAGGACATGGGAAAATATCACTGTGAGGTCCAGGATGGTATGGAAGACATCGTAAAACATGTCATCCTAGAGGTAGAAAATGGCACAACTGAAGGTAAATACTGTTTAAGTAATATATTAGAAATGTATTAATAATTCACATTCTTTATAATGCATGTCCTGTTTTCACATCTTATTTCAGAGTCATTAAACTGTTCTCCATCTCACAATTTGTCAGTTTTAGTTGAAAACTGGTGACACTTATTCAGTGTTCCATCTAAACTTAAAGTCAGAGTTTTGCAGATTAAGATTTGAAAAAATTACTCTAAATAATTTATATTCAAAATTTGAATTTGGTTAGTTATGAATTCTTTTACAGCACCAGTAATTTTGCAACACTGTAGATTTGAGAATGTTTTTGAGCCATTAAGTCTTCTGATCTAGGCAATGAATGTACCAAAAAATGCAAACTATTTAATATTACCAAGGTTACAGTGCAATTTTGGACTTTTCATTTTAATTTAGATTTATTAAGTTGTTATAGTTTTATATATTTTTTTTCAGTAAGTTATCATTTCAACCTGGAGAGACTCACACAGACAAAAGAAGCAATTAGAATGATTTTTTTTTTAAAAAAATGAAAACAAGTTTTTGCCGCTAGAACCCCAGCTGAAGACATTATGCTGTAAGTCATCATGAGCCTGGATGAATAACTGATGAAGAAGGTAAGAGTAGTCTTACCCCCAGTGGTGGTGGAATAAGCCAGAGGATTAGAGCCTTCATCTTCATGAAAAGTGTGTTAAAAATGATTGGCTTTGGAGAGGATGCGGTCCGTCTTTGATTGGACGAAGCTTCATAGAGGGATGTCAGCAGGTGTTCTGGGTTAGGCTGATTAAGAAAGAGCCTTCCAGGTTGAATTTTAGCTTAAGTTTCATTTGCTTTCAGAAAAAGTTTTCTGTTTTTTATTAGTTTTGTCATCTTAACAATAGTTAGTTTTAATGTAGTTTTATTCGTTCTAGTTCTAGTTTATTTCTCATACTTTAATAATTTTAGTCCACAGGATTCACAACGTTCAGAGAATTTAGTTGTTGCAAATGTGCATATAAGTAATAAAAAATAAATAAAGGATACCATATCCAAAAACTTGCTTAATTGCAGCAGACTTTAAGTGGCTCTTGTGGAAAAAAGCTACCGTAACTATTTCACATCAATTTAGAAGGCTTAAAAAATAGATAAACATGAAATTGAAGGGTATATATCTATAATTTTTCATATGTTTAGTTAGTTTAATCAAAACACAATACTGTTTCATTTACTTTTCCCTTTTAATTAGTTTTTTTTTATTTCAGCTGCAAAAAATATTCAATATCAATTTAAATTTTTTTAGTTGTTTAATCAGCTATAATGCCCTTTCTCTCCTCATAAAACATGCGTTCTGTTGTTAAAAATACAGATTGTGTTTTTAAGATGTTTTCCTAAAACAGTTTTTATGTCATTCAGGTGTTGTATTCCCCTATGCTCCACATCATGGGCGCTACAACATGAGTTTTGATGATGCTGTGCAGGCATGTTCCAGCCAGGGTGCTGTGATTGCCTCATTTGAACAGCTCCTACAGGCCTGGGAAGATGGACTGGACTGGTGCAATGCTGGCTGGCTCGATGATGGTACAGTACATTATCCCATCAAAAAACCCAGAGAGCCCTGCGGTGGTGCTATCAGCAGTCCTGGTATTAGAAGCTACGGTCGCAGAAACAAGCAGAAGAGCCGCTTTGATGTCTTCTGCTTTGCTTCCAAACTTGAGGGTACGTACATTTTTATATATTAAAACTTAGTTTTCATACAGTCCAACTAATAACGTCCATTTTCCTAAACACGTGTCTACGTGAAAGGACATCCTTCTGAAAAAGTGTTTTTCTTTTTTGCTTTCTCCACAATTAGGTCAATTTTATTGGTTGACCCAGCCAGATAGACTGACCTACGACGAGGCTGTGCAGATGTGCAAAGACGACAATGCAGAGATTGCCAAAGTTGGTCATATGTATGCAGCCTGGAAGCTTGAGGACTACGATCGCTGTGACGCTGGCTGGCTGGCTGATGGAAGTGTCCGCTACCCTATCTCCAGACCCCGCAAGAACTGCAGTCCCACAGAGGCTGCTGTGCGCTTTGTTGGATTCCCTGACAAAAAAGTCAAGTCTTATGGTGTCTACTGTTTCAAGCCTTACTAGTGAGAATATCAAAAACAGCTAGGGAAACCATAGCTACCAAAGAGCAGCAAAAACAAACATAAAAATACATTTCTGTGAAAACAGGATTTAAACCAGTTAAAATATAATATCCTTGCTGATGCTGTTTTAACTCTTACTTATGTGTCACACATTTAAGTTCAATATGCAATACATAACAATATATAAGTAGCAATTAATGTTTGATACTTTTTCTTGTTGCACACTTTGTTAAGACTGTTTGACATAAGCCGATAGTTTTATAGCAAAGTGACTGAGGCAGAATCATCTGAATTTAGTATTTACTGCTTAAAATGTGTTAAGTTCAGGATATGATTGCAATTTCACTCAAACTACTATTCTAATTAAGGCTTGAGCAATGCGATGTCTATATGTAATAGGCCTGCATAAAACAAAATTTGATTTCAGTGTGGTGAACATAATGTGGTTACATCTTATGGGCTATTGGTATAAACACATTATACTGCAATAACTCAAATGGACTCTTTGTCAGAACTGTTTTTTCCGACAAAGAGTCCAGTTAAATAGCAAACAGCAAAATATTTGCAAACAGAACTAAATATATATTTTGAATCAGTATATATTTTTTTGCATTACAGTTTAATTAACAGAAACTACAAGTCTGAAAGATGTTACAATGTTAACTTTTTTCCAATTTGAGATAGAAGATAAAGACTTTACCTTTCTTCACACATCTTTCCAAAAAAATCTTTAACAATGTAGTATAAAGTTTTGATTAATGCTTGCGAATCTTTCTTTTATTATATTAAGTTTGTTTTGCCATTGTGCTAAACATGTTCATATAACCCTTGTTTGACTCGAGTAAAACTCTGAGTAAAAAACTGAGTGAAAATACTAGCAATTAGTAGTTAGTTTTTAATTTTAGTTAAAAGAAGGTTGTTTGCTTTGCTTATTTTAGTGTAATCACTGACCTATGATGCTAACTGCAGATGTGTATTTGTTCTCAGTTCCACATACAAAAACAGTTTCTTGTATGATAACATGTATCTTTTTTACAATGATGCAACTGAAAATAAAAATCTGCTTTTAAAAATCTTTTTTTAATGGTTACTTTATAGAAAATATAACTATCATTGATGATTAGTATATATGGATATACAGATAGAAATTTTAAGTGTTATCAATGTTTTCTACAATTTTTTTTAGTACTCAAACTTTAGATTTTTATCAGGATATCCTAAACAGGGAGGCTGGTCCAAAATGGGAAGATGTAGGAATACCACAGCTTGATCAGGTTTGGAGGTCTCAAGACTGGTCTTGTCTCAAGATTGGTCTTGATAATAAAAAAATAAAAATCCCAGTCTGGGGCTCAGTTTTGAACGCTAATGCCTTAATCTTGGCTTCAGTGTTGATTTTTCGTGCCTTTGCAAATTGTATATGGGCTGTTTCTAGACTTTGTACTTTTCTAAAAATTTATAAATAAATAAAAACGATAGTGCAGAAGCAAACAAATTACAAGAAAAAAAACTGCATCAGTGATTAGAGCACCACTGGTTCCCGGAATCTCAGACTAAATATAATCTTGTTATTGGAATGATGACCTTAAAAGCTTATAGTAAAAATATTTTGGCTGGGGGTTACTAACTGTTAAATGAGAGTTTTTCCTCTCCAATGTGGCTGCATACTGTATACTGTATGTTTGGTGTGAGGGATTGCTGTGGAGTCAATGACAAAATTCAAATGAGTATCTGCTGTCACCACATGTGCTTCTAGGAAGAGCGTGTCCTGCAAGTCAATGATTTGGTGCAATTACAGTACCTGTCTTTTTTTTATTAGATAGAAAACTTTTTATGTTTACAAAAAGCCTTTTGTTTTTTAAAATTGCCCCTCTGGATCCATTGCTTTAAAAAAGTAAACATTTACCTACAGTCTTGCTTTTACTAAGAACTTAGAACATTTACTTTTCAAAAGAATGAACAGTTGGAAGAAAAGGAAAAGAAAAAACATTGGACAAAATGTATATTCTATTTACCTCCGGGATTAATCCTAAGCGAAGTATTGACCTGTAGTTTTACTATAGTTCTAAAGTGTTCATACAAGGAAAATGAGTATCTAATTTACTTCATCCTTCACAGCATATTTTAGGTTCATTCTTCTTGTCTTGGAATACATGAAATCCTCTGCACACGACTTGTACCTAATATTCTTGTTGACTCAAGGTGGCAATATGTAGCAAAGACCAAGCTTAACAGTATCAACGCACTACATGCAAAACTCACTGAACCAGCCCATGAATGTAAATGGGAAATGGCCTGTACTTATATGATGCTTGTTCAAGTCAGAGGACCCAACCAAAGCACTTTACACTACATTCAGTCATTCATCCATTCACCCACACCCTGATGGTGGCAAGCTACATTGTAGTCACAGTTGCCCTGTGGCTCACTGACAGAAGCGATGAAGGGGAATAATAAGTCTCATTTAATGAAACCAAAAAGGAAAACTCTAAACAGTTAGCCTCTGTCTTGGTCTCTGAAGGTCTGGTTTTATTCTTGGTTTCAGAGGGTGCAGTCTCGAAAGAACCAGTCTGTACGTGACATTTTTATAATTTCATTAGTAAAACTTTTGACAGCTATTATTTTCCTGTCTTACAATCTTACAATATTTTACTACCCTGCATTGGGCTGTAAACATGAACTATCATCCAAATAGGATCGATCAATAGATCGATCGATCTATCTATCTATCTATCTATCTATCTATCTATCTATCTATCTATCTATCTATCTATCTATCTATCTATCTATCTATCTATCTATCTATC